CGACTAATCCGGAATCGAGCCGGGTAGGACCACAAGGGCGGCAAAGCTCTCCCTCAAGAGTTTTAACACTGCTGCATTCTCAGGGCTCGAACGCGAGACCACTGGTTAAGCTGGAAGAGACCAAGCCATCTCATCCAAGCGCTTGTTCAATTCCCCCAATTCCCTTACTTTTTATAGCTGCACATGTCTTCTCATTTGCAAACACTTTTTTTACCCACTTTTTCTTTTGCCTTTCATTCTTGTTTTCTTCCCTGCAATTCAAAGTCCAAATCTTTTTTCTTAATTCTGACCATTTCTTTTTTCTAATTTGTGCAGAGAGTGGTACCTCTCAACACATGAATCCCAACCTTGAAGCTTGCCTACAACATGCTCCGAAAGCCCGATGGCTCATTCGACCACGATTTAAATGAATTCCTCGACTGTAAAGTACCCGCCAACTCAAACCCTATCGTCGGAGTCTACTCGTTTGATGTCATCATAAACCGCTCCACTGGCCTCCTCAATCGGGTTTACTTGCCAGCCCCCGACAATGGGCATGGGCCCATTTACGGATTTCTGAGCCTGATCAGCCCCTAAGCTCGACCAGGCCCGTGCCCGTCATAATCTTCTTCCACGGCAGAAGCTTCGTCCACTCCTCAGCCAACAGTGCCATATACGACACGTTCTGCCGCCGCCTCGTCGCCATTTGTCGGGCAGCCGTTGTCTCGGTTAACTACCGCCGCTTGCTGGAGCACCGCTGCCCGGCCGCTTACGAGGACGGTTGGGCAGCCTTGATGTGGGCCCGGTCAAGGCCCTGGCTGACAAGTGGCAGCGAAATGGAGGAACCGAAGAAGGTTCGTGCTTACCTGGCAGCGGTGAATTAACATGACATTATATTCAAAAATTAATTGACTACAATAATCCAAAAGCGTGATTTAATTTATTCAATGTATATTTATACTTTAACTATTCAATGTATAATGTATTCAAAACATTACCTGTGAATCTGTTTTCCTTTAAGTTTATTGCCTGCATTTTTTTGTTGCAATTGGACATATGAAGTTTAACGGAAGTATAGAAGTTTTATGTGACAATTCACCATATTACCTCTTAGTCATGACAGACGATCTCCATGAAATTCCTGCACTCCATGTCGAATTGCCTCTAAAATTTTGGATTGCTCTCATTTTCAAATAAGGTTTGTTGTTGTTCTTGAATGTATCCAAACTGGTGCCATTTTTTTTCTCTGTAATTTTTTTTCCTCTGTATTTCGATGTGTTTTATTCTGTATTTTGAAGCTTGTATGAGTTGGAGAAGATGATAAAAATCCCCAATTCTCTTCCAAATTAGCGTGCATAAAATAAGAAGGACTCGTTGTTTTAATAATTAGAAAATTTGTTAGAGATATATAGTGCAAATTTGTTAGATTAGAAAATTTGTTAGCGATATATCAGTGCAAATCTGTTAGAGATATATCAGTGCAGATTATGAAATGCGTGATTCCTAATTAATCGTACGTGTGAACAGATTTTAATTACGGTAATAAATATATCAGTGCAGATTGGGAAAAGTTTGAACACATTTTAACTAAAAACGCGTGAATATTTACTTGTGCGGTCTCAAATTTAAATTAGGAAACGTGAGGAAAATAAAAGAAAAAAACGGATTTCATAACAATTTGAAGCGCGTGAATATCTTTTCATAACAATATTTTTGCATGTTTGTATTCAGATTTTTTAAAGCACGTGAATTTTGGATTGCAACCTCATAATCTCGCAATCCCATTAATTATGCCATTAATCTCGCAACCTCACATGTAACGTGGCAAGAGGAAAAAAAATCCAGATTTTATTATGAGTTTCCACAAATAGAAAGTCAACGTTTTGACTCAATTTTTTTTAGTTTTCAAAAGTGAATTTTACATCAACCTTTTTATATATATATAGATAATAATAATAATAATAATAATAATAATAATAATAATAATAATAATAAAAAAATATATGGATATACTTCCATAATGAGTATGGTAGATGGTAGATCTGAAAAACTCATCGAAATTCTCCATAAGAGTTATATTTATTCCTCCGTTTTGCCACCCCTTTTTGCAGGAGTTCCAGATATAGTGAATTGAGATTCAATCTCAACCTCTGATAAATAAGTCATAAACTCTCTCAAGACGTATTTGTCGAAGTGACTTAATAATTTTACCGTGACGCTTCTCCATAACTGTCCGATATTCCTTGAATTTCTTAAAGTATTCGGACTTGTGGCGCATCAAGTAGGCGTTTCATATCGAGTAATCATCACTAAACATGACAAAAGTACTCAAAACCTTCCATTAAAATATGACATAGATTGTAGTTTTAAAAATGTTAAGAAGAATTTTGACAACATATGAATTATTGAAAGATCAATTTTCATATATTTAACAGAAGAATCTTGATTCATAGATTAAACTTTCTAAATTAAAGAGATAACAGAGCCCAACATCACGTACTCAAATAAATTTAATTATTTTAAAAATATCGAACATTATAAACATTGTGGGATAATATTTAATAACTTTTTAGATATGTTTTTTTTCAAATTATAGAAAAAATTTAGGTGATTTTACACATTTTTTAAGAATAATATAAAACATGTTATATATTAATTTACATTTTTTTACACATGTTATATAACATTTTTGATGCAGTTAATATTTTTGTGCATTTTACGATCTGAAAAATAAATAAATAAATTAAGAATATACTTCCATAATGAGTTGTAGATCTGAAAAACTCATCAAAAATTATCCATAAGAGTTATATTTATTCCTCCGTTTTGCCACCTCCTTTTATAGGGGTTCCGGGTGAATTGAGATTCTCAACCTCTAATAAATAAGTCATAAACTCTCTCAAGACGAAGTGGCTTGATAATCTTACCTTGACGCTTCTCCCTAACTGTCTGATACTCCTTGAATTTCTTAAAGTATTCGGACTTGCAGCGCATCAAGTAGGCGTTTCATATCGAGTAATCATCACTAAACGTGACAAAAGTACTCAAAACCTCCCCTTAAAATATAACATTGATTGTAGTTTTAAAAATGTTAAGAGAAGAATTTTGACAACATATGAATTATTGAAAGATCAATTTTCATATATTTAACAAAAGAATCTTGATTCATAGATTAAACTCTCTAAATTAAAGAGATAACAGAGCCCAACATCACGTACTCAAATAAATTTAATAATTTTAAAAATATCGAACATTATAAACACTGTGGGATAATATTTAATAACTTTTTAGATATGTTTTTTTTTCAAATTATAGAAAAAATTTAGGTGATTTTACACATTTTTTAAGAATAATATAAAACATGTTATATATTAATTTACATTTTTTTACACATGTTATATAACATTTTTTATGCAGTTAATATTTTTGCACATTTTACGATCTAAAAAATAAATAAATTAATTAAGAATATACTTCCATAATGAGTTGTAGATCTGAAAAACTCATCAAAATTATCCATAATAGTTATATTTATTCCTCCGTTTTGCCACCTCCTATTACAGGGGTTCCGGGTGAATTGAGATTCTCAACCTCTGATAAATAAGTCATAAACTCTCTCAAGACGAAGTGGCTTGATAATCTTACATTGACGCTTCTCCATAACTATCTGATACTCCTTAAATTTCTTAAGGTATTCGGACTTGCAGCGCATCAAGTGGGTGTTTCATATCGAGTAATCATCACTAAACGTGACAAAAGTACTCAAAACCTCCCATTAAAATATAACATCGATTGTAGTTTTAAAAATGTTAAGAGAAGAATTTTGACAACATATGAATTATTGAAAGATTAATTTTCATATATTCAACAGAAGAATCTTGATTCATAGATTAAACTCTCTAAATTAAAGAGATAACAGAGCCCAACATCACGTACTCAAATAAATTTAATAATTTTAAAACTATCGAACATTATAAACACTGTGTGAGAATATTTAATAACTTTTTAGATATGTTTTTTTTTCAAATTATAGAAAAAATTTAGGTGATTTTACACATTTTTTAAGAATAATATAAAACATGTTATATATTAATTTACATTTTTTTACACGTGTTATATAACATTTTTGATGCAGTTAATATTTCTGCACATTTTACGATCTAAAAAATAAATAAATAAATCAAGAATATACTTCCATAATGAGTTGTAAATCTGAAAAACTCATCAAAAATTATCCATAAGAGTTATATTTATTCCTCCATTTTGCCACCTCCTTTTACAGGGGTTTCGGGTGAATTGAGATTCAATCTCAACCTCTGATAAATAAGTCATAAACTCTCTCAAGACGAAGTGGCTTGATAATCTTACCTTGACGCTTCTTCATAATTGTCTGATACATTTCTTATCTTAAAGTATTCGGACTTGCAGCGCATCAAGTAGCCGTTTCATATCGAGTAATCATCACTAAACGTGACAAAAGTACTCAAAACCTCCCATTAAAATATAACATTGATTGTAGTTTTAAAAATGTTAAGAGAATAATTTTGACAACATATGAATTATTGAAAAAATCATTTTTTATATATTTAACAGAAGAATCTTGATTCGTAGATTAAACTCTCTAAATTAAAGAGATAACAAAGCCCAACATCACATACTCAAATAAATTTAATAAATTTAAAAATATCAAACATTATAAATCGTTGTGGGATAATATTTAATAACTTTTTATATATGTTTTTTTTTTCAAATTATAGAAAAATTTAGGTGATTTTACACATTTTGTAAGAATAATATAAAACATGTTATATATTAATTTACATATTTTTACACATGTTATATAACATTTTTGATGCAGTTAATGTTTTTGCACATTTACGATATTTTGCAAAAGTTAAATTTTATAAGACATTTTCAACAAATTAACGTATTATATTATATATTGACCCCACATTTTGAATTTGTAAATGTTGTTTATTAGTACATTTAGAGTATCAACTTCTTTGTACAATTTTATACAGTTTGATTCATTTTCGTATTTATCCATCATTTAATTTACGGTACATAATAATTTCATATTATGTCGTTGATCCAAATAAAATAAAACTAATTAATGACGTTGAATCATATACAAAAATAATATGAATTTAAACTTTTCAAAATGATTTCGTCATTTTTCATTTCATATCCAAATTATAAATTTTAATGTGAATCATAAATATATCCTAATTATTATATATATATATATATATATATTAAAAAAAGGCGATTCATATATTTCATTTTATCATATATCATGTATTAGATGTTATTAGTTTGGACACTTATTCTATAAATAATATATAATTTTTTATATTTTATATTTATTGTATTATAATAATGATATATATTTTCTATATTTTGTATTTATTGTATTGTAATAATGATGAAATGTTAATCAAATATAAATAATTACAGGAATGCTAAGGAGCCAATTGTTGGCTCAATTACGGAACCAACAACCAATAGGACAGCTCCATGTGTGGCCAGTGGCAGAGCCACACCTTGTGGCTGGGGTCAGCTGACCCCTATGGATTTCAAAATTTTTAGTATAAAATACTGTTCAAACACTGTTTACTAGGTTAATGACCCCGCTAAAAAATATTGCCGACCCGGTGAAATTTGAGGTTGGCTTCGCCCCTGTGTGTGGCTATCCCACATTGGAGCCATGTGGGACAGCCTCACTGGAGTTGTCTCATTAGTTGTTGGCTCCGTAACGGAGCCAACAATTGACTCCTTAGCATTATTGCAAATAATTATGTTTAGAATAAAAATTTAACAAAGATTTTAACTAACATGTCCGTTAGTTGACCTCAACATTATTTCACCACCGCACGCTGACATATTTGAGCTATATATATGAGCTGCACGAGTCGACCAAAACAGGGTCGCATAATTTTTTCTTTACAGTCGTCGCTGACTTTGGACGACTGCACTTCCACCATTTTTTCACAGCTCGCTAAATTATTTGAGCTCCGAGTACGAGCTGAACAATAGGTCGCCATAGTTGTCTTTGCACAATTACTTTTACCAGCTGTTCTATTGGATCGATGAAATGCAGGTTTACTTTCTGATCTCTACTCTTTTTTCAATCGAAAAATTTGTAGAAGTTGCGTAATTTTGTGAAATTCTAATTTGGGAGATGGGTGTTTATACGAAAACCCTAATTTTGGACCTTGCTCAATTAGGGTTTTGAGAGTAGTCGAATCGTGAGTTATTATGATAGTAATTGATGTGCTGACTCGCTCTTTGATGTACTGCTTCTCTACTTAATTTTTTTTTTTTTTTTTCGAATTCACTGCAGATTCGCTGTTTCAATTATGTGTGTAATATATGTTTTCGCATACTATCAACTTCAGTTGGTTTTATGATTTATAATTGTGGTTCAGTGATGCAAACCGATACGATGCGTTTCTAGTTCTGTATACATATGATTTGGGCTCTGGTAGTTGAGTCTTTCGTGCAAGTGTTTTACATGTAACTGGTTTGTTCATTTCAATTTTTGTTAGCTAATAATTTATTTGATTGCTGATGCTCCTGCTTATCATTATTCAATTTGCTAGTGTGTGGCTGTTAAGTAGCGGACAAGTTTTTTAAGGGGAGATGACTATAGATATGAGATTTTGACCTGAATCATGGCTTCAAGTACTAAATTTGAGTTGACATCGACCAGCCCTGAGGCCAGTTTTGCAGGAAATTACCAAAATGGGGAAAGGGGATACTCTACTCCCACTTTGGATAGGTCAACAAGTTTCAGAGACAGCACAGAGATCAAGAATTTTGCTTCTGGAAAGGCAAATTCTAGAGGAAGTGTTTCGACTTCCGGAGATGTGACTACATTATCTCAATATCTAATGTTGGAGCCAATTGTTATTGGTGATCAAAAGCATGCGCGATCTGGGGACTTAAGGAGGGTTCTTGGCGTTTCTATTGGGAGCACTTCAGAAGACAACTCTTTTGGTGCTGTTCATCTTAAGAATTCATCTCCTGGGGCGGTGGAGGAATTGAAGCGATTAAGAGCTAGTGTTGCTGATAGTTGTGTTAAAGCAAGGTAATTTTTATCTCTCTCTAGTTGGTCTCTTCAGAAATGCGCCTGGTTCTGGAGCTTTGCCTCGATGCTTGTGGAGTTGTTATACTTGTATATTTACCTTTTCTGGTTGTGCTGATAATTATCCTTCTGAACATTGTTACCTAGATGCAAATTCCCACTTTCCTTAATTAATTAATTTATCCTTATGAACTGTGCTATATGTATGTTATGCTCCACAGCCTTGGTTGACTAATATCTGACAATTATATGTCATGTGAAATTGGTGAGGCTTGCCTATTTAATTGAGATTCTGAGTGTTGTCACTCACTTTCATGTTAACTTGATATTTTTGCACCTGCATGGTGGTTCTATCTTTGAAAGTTGCTCTGTCTTGTTTATTATTTGAAAATCCAGAGTACATTTTTTTTGTTCTATTTTTTAATTCAAATTCGTTTTTTGTTTCTTCTTGTTTCCACAAAACTCGAAACATTTAGTCCTAGTTCAATATTATCAATCATCACGTACATAACCCAACTGAAATACAACAGTGAGACCAATACAACTATCTAGGTCAATATTTTTTACTATTTTCATTTTTTTATCAATTTAATTGGAACACTTATAAATCTTACAAACTAATAGTTTTCTAAAAGTGAATACAAGACACAATCACTATTAAGTTAGTAAACAGTACGTGATCATTTCGAAAATAGTACTGTAATGCATGGCAACAAACTTATTTCTTACTGTAACATAACCAGAATTTATTTCAGCGTTGCTGTCATTTCTAAAAAAAATTCATTGTTGTTCCATCATCTAACAAAATTTTATGTAGAGGTTTCAACATGAAAACCAGTGCCAAAATAAATTCTCAGTTGAAATGGCTTGAAATGAGAATCACTCTGAGAGGTCTGAAATTTTATAATCTTCCTTTGACCAGTGGCAGAGCAAAGAAGTTGGACGATCATTTGATTAAGTTGAACAAATATGTTGAGGTGTCCTCTAAAAAGCAGCAGCAAAGGAGTGAGATGCTAGCAAATGAACGAATTAGTGGTTCAATCTTGAAGATTGGATCTCTGATACATCGAAATACTACTGAATTTGGAAGTCAAAAATTTGATGAGAGGCCTAAGAATGGTGGATTGAATAAGCGCTTACGGACATCAGTTGCTGATAATCGGGTTTGTAACTGGATTATTGTTATTGGTTTTATCTATTTAGTTTCTCAGAATTGCTAACTCTAAGATAACTCCTTTCCGATTTGATAACTAGAGAATAATTGCAGTTGCAGCATTACTTGTTTGGTTTTATTGTTCAGATTGCTTATATTTTCTTGAGTTTAGTTACATCGTCGGGATGGCCATGAGAAAGACTGATTTCTTTCATAACTTAAAATACCAAAGCACCTCACCTCTTTTACTTGGTGGACTCCATATATGACATATGCAGTCTACTAATATCAGGATCATGGACTAGAGATAGCATAAGATCTGGAAAAATCGTTGAAGCCTTTCTTACTTGAGCAATCTACTTAAATGCTTAAAAGTTTATGTAAATTGTACACCATCAACATTAGTCCCAATGGCCACCTAGTGATAGCATAATATCTGGCGAAGTCGTTGAAGCCTTTCTTACTTGAGCAATCTACTAGAAGCTTAAAAGTTTATGTACATTGTACACCATAAACATTAGTCCCAATGGGCACCTGTGATTGTATTTGGCCTAGTATATTAGACACAGGTAATGACCCATCATGTATCCTTAATTCCTTATATCTAGGGAGTCACTTCGATAAGGTTTCATTCAATCAATTTACTAATGTAAATTTATTATTTTTTTCATCCCCAATTTCAGGCAGAATGTAGGGCCGGTGGAGCACCGCGGCAGCCTATGTCAATGTCAAGAGAAAGAGACATGCTCAAAGATAGCAATGCAGATTCTGATACTGTTGAGGGAAAAATAAGGAGATTACCTGCTGGTGGAGAAGGCTGGGACAAGAAAATGAAAAGGAAACGCTCAGTTGGTGCCGTCTTCTCTAGATCTATTGATAATGATGGGGAACTAAAAAGAACAATGAATCATAAGCTCCCTGGTGAATCTAGCCTGCAATCCGGTGATTCCTCTCATAGTATCAGGTCAGTATCCACTATAAACCAATGCTTATATGCTTTTAGCAATTGCACTACTGTTTACTGTAGTTTTTGGTTTATATGTTATGTTCACATATGGTATTCTTGAGGATTTTGGAGACTTATATTAGTTAATTTGTTGGATTTTATTCCATTATTGAATGATTCTTCCCTTGGTTATGAGACATGCCTCATTTAAAATGACCTCATATGATTGTAATTTTAGTGACACACTCTCCATGCCTTTTGTCACGGTGTTTGTGACTAATGAGTAATGTCTGCTTTCAGAAGCACTATCTCAAACCATGATGTAGGGAAGTTAGCTTTCTCTATGCATGTACTGTTTTTTATTGTTTTCATATTCGCGTGTCGAGGCCAAATTGCTTTTTCTATGTATTGTTGAATCAGTCATGGTTTATCCAGTTTGTTATTTTCCGAGTTTATGCATAGTTCCGCTATGATTGACTCAAGATTGACTTTGAATGAGAGACTCTAGATTGACTTAGATTTCGACTTAATGAGGCTTGATTACTCTTTGAAACACACAGGTTAGGTGCTTCTGGCAGCAGCAGCAAATTAGATCCAGCTTCATCTCCTGCCGGTTCAAGTGCCCGTACAACCCTCAAAGGTGAACAAGAAAAATCCATGCTTTCAAGGGATCTCTCTCCAGGACCAATGAAGGAGCGAACCTTAGGGAAACTAAATGTTAGGTAAATGTTTGTATGATTCTAAACGTCACTAGCATGTTGATTTTTCCTCATACCTATCTTTTCCACATCTTTCAACTGCTCTCGATATTTGGAGTTTCCTCCTCCTCCTCCTCCTCCTCCTCCTCCTGTCTTTACTTCTGATGCTTCAGTGATTCTTTATTTAGGATGGGCAATCGTGAGGGCAATAGTGCCATGTGTCCTAGTCCAATATTAAAAGGCAAGGCCTCAAGGGCACCACGGAGTGGTTCTATGGTTTCAGCTAGTTCAGCTTCAAACGTATCTCGTGTATCTGGGACTTTGGAGAGCTGGGAACAACTGCAAGCAGTAAATAAAACCTCGACCATAGGTGGGGCTAACAATCGAAAGCGTACAATGCCCGCTGGATCGTCATCACCACCCATCACTCAATGGGTGGGTCAGAGGCTACAGAAGATGTCACGAACCAGGAGAACGAATCTGATCCCTGTATCAAACCATGATGATGTCCAGATGCAATCTGAAGGATGCTCACCTTCAGATTTTAGCCCCCGGTTAAGTAGTTTTACCAATGCCGCTCTTTCCATCAAGGGTTCTGCCAGTGAAAACATCAATTTTAAAGCAAGATCCGAAAATGCCCCGTCTCCTGCAAGGTTGTCAGAAAGTGAAGAATCAGGTGGTGGTGAAATTAGAATAAAGGAAAAAGCATCAGGAAGTGGTGATGGGGAGGAGAAGGATGCAAATACTACCCAGAATGTTGGGCCAATTGCAATTCCCGTGAAAAAGAATAAAATTATGGTCAAAGAAGAAAGTGGTGATGGTGTGAGGAGACAAGGGCGCAGTGGGAGGATGTCACCATTTTCTATGACTAGCACTTCACCGACGAGAGAGAAAATGGATAATGAAGGGACAACTAAACCTCAAAGGAATGCAAGGTCTTCTGAAAAGAATGGAAGGTGCTTCAGAGTTTCCTTGTGTGACTTTAGCATTATTTGTTTATTTTGTATTTTCCTTAGTTTTGGTTGCTTCATCTTCCTAATGATTTTTTTTTTTCCTT